TTTTCATTGATAAATCGCCGATCGATAGAATTTAACGTTGGACCCAAACAAATCGGGATTTATGAATGACTAGCTTGGTCTATTTATTAATGTCTTTGCTTTCATTGAATCACGAGGGCGAAACCACAATTGCTCAATGGAGTCACAATATTGGGCCGTAATTTGTCATGGATTAAAAACATTTATTCATGAACAACATGTTTTATGCAGAGATAACGAGACAGACTATACTTAATGCAAATTAATGACCAGCTGAAGCCCTGCACATGGAATTGATTTCCTATCTTATAGAACTTATCTAAATCGGATTACTTCCTGGCGACCAAGAGAAACAAAACGAGGAATCGGAAGACCTCGTTAATATGGAATGGCTCTGGAATGGCTAGACGTCGTTAAAGAGGTAGGAGCACGAGCCTGATATCGCCTAGCCCAAAACAAAACATCGTGGACATAATTAAAGGAGGGCTACGTTCAGAAGTGGACAACAATGTGATAAAAAGAACGAGAAATAAAAAGCAATATACTTTGCACGTAAACGGTTTCGGTCGTGCGTTCCGACTAGAGGTCGAGTTGCAGCTATCGCAAACGCAACTGCGATTTTGGGAAAATGGCTCGTTTTTAAGCGAATGAGGATGACAATTTGGAAGTCCGAAAATACCCCCATCAATGGGAAAAAATTGTAGGTAAATTGTATTACGATTTTTTTTAAAAGGAATTGTTCTTCTTTTCCTCCCTTCTAACAAAATAAGGGTTAAAAGTTCGACATAGTTCAACTTTTCAACAGTTTTTCCTCAAATGTACCTCGCAAAGTGATCTCTTGCACAGATCTGTTGCGGCTACAAACGTCGCAATCGGCACGACCGAAACCGTACTTTTAGCATTTCAATACGCTACCAACCAAACATGGGATCATTTCAAAATAATACTTAATAACAAATTTGAAATTCGATTTTCAACTGTTAATATCTTCGGGATGGTTGATTTTTCTTGGGAATTCGGTATGGGCAGTGGTGAAGAAAAAGGAACTTTTTTTGCTACCAAGCTTTCGGCAATTTATTGCCGCCTTCCTCAGGGCTGGAAGAATCAATACACAAAATTCCATCTGATATGTTATGAAATAAAAGGGCATAAAAGGTAAAAACTACAGTTGCGAAACACTTACTGCTAACTGTTTGTCCATAAGAAGGCCGGGAACCCTCCAGAATATTCTATCATTTTTTGTACAGCTTGATGAAATACTTAATATTTTAGTTAGTTTGGTCACAATTTCTTTGTCATGGATTACACAAAACATTTATTCACGATCAACATGTTTTTCTGCAGAAATAATAAATAACGAGACAGACTACATTAAATACAAATTAATTTAGGCATTAAAGGCACTGTACAGCTAATTGATTTGACTTCCACATTTCAAATTCTACTGCTTCAAATTTCTACCTTTCTTATGCTTTACTTTTATATGAAAAATGTTTTATTTTGAATTCTTTGGGTGCCTGGTGGCTGGTTATTGTATATACTTAATTTGTTCGTTTTTTTGGTTTTGCCTTTGATTTCTATGGGAGATTTGTATAACTTATTTGGGTATTGTATATAGTTACGTTGCATCAGTTAAGGAGAAAAAGATGGATATATAGGCTAAGTGAGCAAGAAACAGACGAGAGAATGATTGTATAAGCAATGTAGCTAATTATGTTTGTTGGATTTATTATATTAAATTAATTATGTTGTGTATTTTCGCGTGGTACTTTCTTTTAAATTATTTGTTTTTTGCACCTGTCTAGGAGATTGGCATAAATAGAGCTCAGACCTCCGATGTCCGTTCTTTCGTTGATAGATTCTTTTCTATGGATATTTCTATCATTCCCAGGAGGACTATTTTATAATAGATTAATTATCCAACGCTTCATATCAGATGGAAATTTGTGTAATGACTCTTCCAGCCCTGAGAAAGGCGACAACAAATTGCCGAAAGCTTGGTAGCTAAAAAAGTTTTTCTTTGTCTTCACCACTGCCCAGACCGAACTTCCAAGAAAAATTAACAATCCTGCAATTAGTCGATATCGGTCAAGAAACTGAACTAAAAAAAAAGATATTTTTTTCGTATTTTTCAAGTGAACCCCTATAACCCCTTAAAAGGAACGACGCCAATTTGGAATCATCCTGTATATCGAAAGCTGGAACATCCTACAATCTCGACCGAGGAGTTGACCGAAGAGTTTCTACGATGACGGTATTAAAAGCTCACAAACTACTGGAAAAAATGTAGCTCTAGGACATGAGATTATGAAGAACAATATTATGCTTTTGTAAATATTGTAAAATAAAGAAATTTTAACAGTGACGATTATATTTGATGCGCCGTTGTAATAGCCATATTTCATTTTTGAATGAAAACTTATTCGAAGAAGTAAATAAATGGGATTATTAAAGTGGTTTTAATTAGTCCGGGTTATTGAGGTCGCGCTGCATCAATTTAAAAAAAGCATTAAAATTAAAAAGAAATTCGCTTAGTTCTTACCTTCGCACAGGACTAGTCATGGCTAAAGGCGTGGGAACACCTAAAGCCTTAATTCTTTGTTGCATTGTAGGTGACGCCCTTTGAGAACCTAAAAAAAGCAATACATATAAAAATTGTTAAACCGACTTGATAGCAATTTTCAAAATTTAATAATAGAGAATGCCACAAGTTATAAACATTTCCATTTTTAATACCAACTAACCCTAAGAGATAAATTGGCATTAAGGTATAATATTTTTTAAAACATTTAGATCAGATTTTCGCTATAGATGGACATCGGGGCTTATAGATGAAATAAAAATGACCCTCCCATTCAATTCTCTATCCAACGATGCCAAAACGAATTCTGTGGCTTAAATGGTTCTTGAGAAACTTCGAAAAAAGCAGCATCATGTTCAAGTGGATTTTGCGACTCAAAAAAAAACCACGCAAATTTAAAACTTCTTGAATTCAAGCCGCAGGAAATCGAATAAAAAGTTTTATGAAACAGGACATAGTTCTATGCAAAGGAAGAAGAAGATATAATCTACAGAACTACAAAACTAACAATTGATCTAATTTCTTTGAATGCGTTATTGAGGCTGATGTGTACAGGGTGTTTCCTCATAAATAGCCACCCCTAGATAGTTTATTTCAAAAAAATTGTGAAAGTGACCAAGCTAGTTGTTCATTTCTACTTCTAAATTCTTAAAAACATGCGTATGTGTTCTGTGCACACTGATCATTACCCCTTAGTTAAACCCCGGTTGTTGCACCCTACTTTTTTCGCTCACACAGTTGTTCGTATAAAACCTACATTAAGTACTTTTGCTTTTGTAATTTCATATCTGAAATATATCGTATTGAGCGTTGATCGCCAAGAACAAACTCTTTTTACCACAATTTTTGCAGTTAACCATTGAAAATGTAAACATCACATAAATCATCATTGCGCTTGAACAAACGGTCTGGATAGCAATCGTCCGTATATAAACGGTCTAGTTTGTATATGAAATGACATGTCTCTTTACATACGGTCTGCTGTATAAGGTCGTATATATATATGACCTAGTCTGTATACAAGGTGATTCAAAATTGGCATCATTCCTGACGCTGACACTTTCCCAAGCACCAAATAAATACCGAGGAAGGGCTACATTCCTACCACGTTTGTACGATACAGACAGCACAAGGAGATACAAATGGAGCAGGAGTTAATTAACTGAATACGAGAACCTGCTTGATAAGAGTGGATAATAAGGAGATTACACAGACACTAGCTTGCTTGGAGTTAACCATTCAAATGTTTGGTGTTGTATGGTTTATTTATAAACATTCAAGGTTATGAGAACAGGTTGACATTTCGACAGTACGTTGCGCAGTCAACGAATCTTGTTGAATTTACCGTTTATCATTGTCTATCTTATTGTCACTCTGGATAATTCCATGGTTACCGGAGTTTTAAATAATTACGAGCAACAGGTTAATAAGGCGGATCACCTTGAAAAACATTGCTGCCGTATTTCTGATATAGTTTTTTGCAAATTTCTGAGTTTTTAATAACAATTAATTTCTTTTACTATTTTTTCTGTACTCCTATTACAGCGCCAGACAACACCTCCAGAGGAATGACGCCAATTTTGAATCACCCTGTATATGTATGCCAGGAGTGTTTGTATGCCACGAGTGTTGCTTTCTTCCTGGGCCTCAACGTCCCTCTATTTTTCTCCCTCGTTCTTTGTAGAATTAGTTTAGGAATGTAATATTTCCAATCCAAATACATGATTTTATTTAATTCGATTTAAAAACGTTTGTGTAACCTTTTTCATTCAATAAATTTGATTGAGAAAGTAACACGGTCATTATTCTAACTTTAATACAAACTATTGCAGCTTGAAGAAGGTTTTTTTTCTAGAGCACAATACTACGTTCCCATTCACCCATGGATCCTCGGTTGTCAGGCAGTATTAACGTTTTTTGTATTGGCCAATTTTACTTTGGCAACTTTTATGGACCCTGGCATTATACCACAAGGTATTTAACTCACTACGGCTAACATTGTTTTCTTGGTATGATTTTAATGATTTTTAGCCCCGGCCGACGAAGATAGAGATGATGATTTCCGAGCGCCTTTATATAAAACTACAGATATAAATGGAATTGCTGTACGAATGAAATGGTGTGTAACTTGTAAGTTTTATAGACCGCCCAGGTGTTCACATTGCAGTGTATGTAATCATTGTATA